AAAAACTTACAAAGTCGCAAACACTTAAAAATAAAAACTTAACTCATATGTGTGACCCTAAATAATATTTACATATTTTTTTATAATTTTTTTATGGTGCACACAAGTTTGTCGCAAATATATTTTAGTGTTTGCCTAATTTTGTGTTTTTGATATATTTTGATTTGTGCTTTTTGTGTCGCATAGTTAAACCTTGTCAACGAAACTCACAATAACAACAACAATAACAGCGATCGCAGGTGAAGCAGGCAAAAATGGAGTCCGAAGAAATAACCAAAATGGTCGATGGCGTTTATAAGGTAGGTGTTATTAATCTAAAAAAAAACTTAGCTAAATCCAAAAGAGAGCATTATAAAAATGAATATATCGCTACCTAAAGGTGAAAAGGTGCCAAGTCGACTACATCGATTTTTCGTCTCTCCTGAACAATTTCAAAAAATGGACTTGGCACCTTTTCACCCTTAGGTCACGATATGAATATTTAATAAACTACTAGCCCAGAAACGCGGTATTCATACCAGGTTTTTTTTGTTATATAAACACGAGTACGAAAAATAATATAAAGATGTTATATTTTATTTCTGCTCTAATTTTACTATAGATGAATATGGGTGAAAATTTCTCCACAGGACCTCTGATTTCGGTCCAGTTGGAATTTGTTACGTGAAAATTTGTCTGTAGAGAGGTTTCTAGATGTGAAAGGGATTCTGAGATAGTTTTTTTTATTTTAGTTTTTAAAGTTTTTATAAGCAATTAAATTTTTAAGCAAACTTTTTTTCAAAACTTATTTTCCCTCAAAGTATTTGACGAAATGAATTAATTTCTTATATCTCCATATTGAGTTCCAGTATTGTACCATAAATACTTCTAGACTTTTATTTTATTTTATTTTTTCTGATTTTCACACAAATAATAAACTTCTTAGAATCGTTTTAAGCATGCATTTCATTAAATTTTGGTATAGGTTAGGTTACGTTAGGTTCTCGCAGTTGTCTATGAGATACAATTAGGCACCGGGCTGATTGTGATGCCGCATGTGGGGTCAGAAACTCCCAGTCCCTCCTAAAACCATTTCGAACTTCAAAGGGATTTTAGAAGATTCCTAATTTTGACGCTTTTAATGTCCTCCAGGTTATCGAAGAATTGTCTTCCCAGAGTGGAGATTCTTCGTCTGGATAGACCAGAGCAGTGGCACAACAGGTGCAGAATCGTTTTTTCCTCTTCTTCTTTTCACAACTTCTACAGAAGTCATGTAATCGTACGCCTAATCGATACTAAATAATAAACTGATATTCTGCTTACTTAAGCTCAGTAGTAGTCCATTGCGTTTAACGCTGAGCTACTTTAGTGAGCCACTCGGAAATAAGTAGTTTACAAGTTTGTAAGAAGTTTATAAGGGTATTATAAATATCATCTTCTATATCCAGTTTATTCGCCTTACAGTTCCCCTCAATGACACAGTGTCCCGAAATCCATGGTGTAATAGAGTGCAAGTTTGAATTAGCTCACACTTACCGTTGACTTTTAATATGTTTTTTTTTTTTTTGAAAGCGATGATCACTTTCTTCTTATAAAAAATTTTCAACCATGATTTGTATGGAGAAAAATGCGTTTTTAGGTATACCGACTTTAACTTCCAAGAAAAGTTAGTTTGTTACCCATACAAATACATATACATATCTATCTACATACTTATCTACGTACATATGTTTACACGAAATTTGGTTTGCTTGTCAAGTGGTCTCCCTCCTTCTCAATCGATTTCACAGCGCTTCAGCAACAAAGTGTCGATTCCACGTTTATGGTTGGCCACCAGTCGCTTGTTTGTTTCGGCATTTCACTTTTATCTTCGCTTGTATGGGAGGAAGTAAGAAAATAATGGGCAATTGTTCGATTATTGCAGGATGTTGACTGATTTTCTGTGGCTGGCTGTGAGTGAGAGTTGTCGAAGAGCTATGAAACGTAAATGCAGAGAAATGCAAAGCAAAAAAAAAAAAACTACAAAAAAGAGATAAAAGCAGTTGCGCAAAAAATTTGGGTAGATCAACAGGAGCGTGAACCAAGAGCAGATATAAACGAACTAGTGAATATCTTTACTAGGGGCTGGTTGACTTATGAATTGAAAGGATGCATTTTATACAAAAAATAGTTCCATCATTCAAAAAAACTCTAAAAAAATATTCAGCGCTAACAAATTTCTCCACAAGTTTGGTCGAGCTGCTTCTAAATCCTGCGTGTCGATGTTGTTACAAAAGTGGATCGACCTACATACAGATTTACGCCAACTCCAAGTGGATTTTTATGAGGAGCTTTCTAATAGCAGCAGTCCATACAAAGCTTTGCTGTTGCCTGTCGGTGGGCGACCGCTATTAAAAACCACGTTGTTTGGATGTTGCTTTGACCGGGTACCGAACATTGGTCCTACCGGGTGGAAGTGCGCAACTTCAACCCCTCGGATAGAAAGAGTACGCTCTTCTCATTAAAAATTCGTCGACGTTTGAGATGACCAAGGAATGGACCATGCTTTAGATTTATTCGTCAATAGGGAAATTCTGCTCAATCTTTAAATGAGACATCCCCTTGGGGAGCTAACAGCCGAAGGGAAAATGTCTAGTGAATACAACGAATAGGGCAGAATAGCCTTAAGAAGCACGTGCAAAGTTTCCTTGACTACTTTTGGAAGTTAGGGCGAAACATTATCGCGCTGGTTTTTTTGAAGTCAATACGAAACCACGATTTTCTACTATTTTATGTAGTAGTGGATCAACTTTACGTCCCCTGTCACAATATGATTTAAGAAACAGCTTCGATTTTGCCTGTCTAGCAGTTTTTCGCAAATGAAAAATCGGCATTGCGTATCTTAGCTTAAGTTTCTACAGAGTGCTAGCAAATAAGCAGTTCGGTGACCGCATATATCTATGTATTTATAAAGGGTGTTTTTTGGGTTTTTCCATTTTTTTATTGAAATAAAATAATGAGATTACATAATTTCAAACCCAAAATTTACTATTATAGAGAGATATGTCTGCTTGAATATATCTTGATTAGTGATTGGTGCTTGAATATATCAAATTTCGTGCAGGTGGTCGCCGCGGCTGGCTATGTTGTGGCATATTCTGAAGTCTATTTTTCCTGAGTTTTTCAAGCAATGGGGCTCTATCTCCTCAATGGCTCACACAATGTTGTCTTTCAAGATGTCCAAAGTAACCGTTAAGAAAATAATGCAGAAACGTTAAATCGCACGGTATTGTTGGCCAATTAACTAGCCTGTCTTTCCTTCAATAAGTCGACTAATAGACGCGCTTTTTGGTATTTCAGTTAGGGCATAAAATAATAAAGTAAAGACCAATGATGCCACCACCTTGAAAAGCTCACCAAATAGTGGCTTTATGTGAATGCGATCACGCCTCGCGAACAAATAGTGGATTCGCTTCACTCCAAATGCAGATATTTTGTTTACACTGGTGCTAAGTATTTGACAGAGCTTCTCATCCTATTTGTGCTATGCGTCTTGATGTTGTTATACAAATGGACGTACCTAAAGTTTTACGCCGCCTTCGAATGGCAAATGAATTTTATGAGAGACTGGTTTTCGTGGCAAAAATATACTCGGCCGTTTGCCATAGGCTGCGGAGCGGTGACCTCTGTTAGAGAAAAACTTTTCCTAATTTATATGTTGCTCGCACCAGGGAGCGAACCCAGGTTCTGCGAAGTAGTAGTACGCACTTTACCAGCTCCTCCACAGCGGTCGTCATATCCGAAATATCTACTGTGTTATAACATTAAGAAATTTTATGAAAAAGATTGATTTTTATTTCATATTTGTTTATTAAGTTTCACCTGTGTCTGTGTGTTTACATCCAATTTTTAACCAACTTCCCGATGAGCTAGAGACTTGTCACTTCACACTTAGCTCAGAACCTGATGACAATGCAATAATAAAGAGGAACTAATCCGCTAGTTGGCGCAGGGGTCGATATGATTGAAAACCCCGTATTTATGGTCCGATACATTTCGTAATCAGAATGTGTATTAATTATGTATATAAAAACGAATTACTCCACTTGATAGGTGCTTGATAGGTGACGCGGAAGTAGAGATATTTGGAAAATCCGTACTTATGGTCCGATTTGTTTCATATTTAGATAGAAGGAAATAACTCAACAAAAAATTTTGCCATTAGGGGGTGCGGGGTAGATTTTAACTTTGTTTAATAAACTTTAAAAATAAAAGCTTGTATTAAAAATTGTTTAATATTATTTATTTATATACATATCGTCGCTACCATGTCAAACGATCGAATGTGCAAAAATGCTTATTCAATTTAAGTTGGCAAATCATCTAATTTCGCGTCTTCTTAGAAGCAGAGGATACTGGCTTTAACAAAGTGTCGAATCCCACACTTTTTTCTAATGCTCTTCTTTGCTTTCTTCTAATGCTTCTTCTTTTTTGCTCACCGAAAAATAACAATTTCACATTCGATAGATATAGATATAGATTTATTTTATAAAACTTTATAATACTGTTAGCTATCAACACAACTGGCTGCAAGCAGTGCTAAGCTAAATGAATGAAATAATTTATGCGCATATTTATGTTCATTATTTTGCGTGATTTATTTTTGAGTATTAATATTTAGTAGGAAAAATGGTTTATAAAAATGTCGTACGAAACAAAAAGTGCATTATAATTTAATTGAGTACAAATTCTTTGATTGAAGAGCTCATAAAGTATTGTAAAATATATGATAGATTTCTTCAATCAAGTTACTATAATACACCGACGATTATTTGAAACTCACTGATGTGTATAAAATGTGTTTTAAAATCATAGTTCATATCTAATGAATAGGTATATTTATTCAAATTGCACTCACTCTAAAAAATAAACACATTTGAGATTTGCGCAATTACATATAAAAAGTTATATACCAAGCAGGAAGTAAATTTATGTTGTCTTACCCTTGACTAGTCAATGGCAGTCATCATTTGCTATCGAGCGCGTTCGTTTCCTAAGTCTTTTGTATGTATACCTGCTTAAGTGGATAACGCAGTCAAACACAATGAAGCAGCAAAAAAAAAAACTAAAGCAAATTATGTAAAGTAGATTCACGCAATTTGCCCAATTGCCGCAATTTCAATTAAAACACAATAAAAATAAAAACCAAACACGCTCTCCTTAAGCACAGACGCTGCATAAACAAGAAATGGGAAATGAGAAATTAGCGAAAAGTGTAAAAAAATTGCAATTAATTTATGCAACTTGCTATGCCACTTACATAGTACACATGTATATGTAG